TGCTGCCACTTCTGACTAGTAAACGCCTCAGAATTCCATCTTCCCGGCTGGCCACGAATATTGGCTTCATGGCTTCAATGTCGAGGAGGAAATTTGTGGCCTTCAACCTCACCGGCTTCTCCACCCGATTCGTACTCCTCGTCATCCGTCCCATCCGCATGCAAGAAACCTTGTTCATCTCCATCTGCCCAGGCCTTCTCCTGCACGTGGAGCAGTCTATATTCCATCTGCCTGTTTTGGATACACTTCTTAAAGGGCCGCGACTTAATTTTGATTTGTTTTTTGCTGTTTTTTTTTTCGTGCTTCGTGGCAGGCGCAGTACTTTGTGGACCTTGCAATGCACATTTCGTGGCAGGTGCAGGACTTTGTGGATGTGGAAGTGCAGAATTGGTGGCAGGTGCAGGACTTTGTGGGCCTTGGCCTTGGAGTGCAAATTTCGTGGCAGGCGCAGTACTTTTTGTGGACCTTGAAGTGCAGATTTCGTGGCAGGTGTAGTACTTTGTGGATGTTGGACTGCAGATAAACAGATAGAAAGATAGAAAGATATCGATAGATACATAGATAGATGGATGGATGGATGGATAGATAGATAGACAGATAGATAGAGCATATTTGCTTGGTTAGAAAGTTTTGCACCGGGAAGTTCACCTTAAAATATTGGTTTCGTGGCAGGCGCGGGCGTCGGGGATGAAGTGCAGATTTCGTGGCGCTGGGGTGGCTGGGGGGGGGCGCAGCGCCCCCCCCAGCAGCACACCAGATCCAAAGGTGAGCAGCTCGTGCTTGCTTGCTTGCTTCCTTGTTTGGTTTCGTCTGTGCAACGCAAACAACAGGAAAAGCAAGTGCAAAAAGAGAAAGGAGAAAGAAAGAAAGAAAGAAAGATAGATAGATAGATAGATATAGACAGATAGATACAGACAGATAGATGGATAGGCCAAAAAGCCAAAAGCCACAGAAGCCACGAAAGCCACGAATGCCAAAGCCACAGAAGCCACAGAAGCCACAGAAGCCACAGAAGCCACGAAAGCCAAAAGCCACAAAAGCCAGAAGCCACAGAAGCCAGAAGCCAGAAGCCACGAAAAGCAAAAAAGACCAAAAAAAACAAAATTAAATGGCCCTCCCTTCTTAAAGCAAGTGTTCTCAGCACTTCCTCCTCGAAGATCTCTGCGACCAATGTTGGAACCCCCCAACACCAGGCCCATAGATCTTCTGCTCGAATTTGTGGCCTTCGCCCAGCAAGCTCACCCTGACATGCTGTTTGAACACTTGGATGTTCTTACTCTTTGGTGGCACCGGCTTGACTTCGTCGTCCTTGTCGTCCTCCAGCTCGGGACCTGGAGGCTCTGAAGGTGGTACCGCGCTAGTTCTTGCGGAGTGACCACTCCCTTTGCTGCAGCTTCCACCAACTCGTCACTCAGAGTCATGGCCATGGAAAGGTGAGAGAGTTCGGTGATAATACAGTAAATGTGAATGATCTCGTTTGGGCTGTGTTGTAGCTGAAAACATATTCTAGCTGCAGTCTCTCCACATGCATTTACATAGCCAATCAACATACAATACAGTAGGTTTCAGCATCTAATAAGCGATGCACTCTTCAACATATGATGTGTGTCAATACGTTGTGTAAGTACGGACAGTTGAACACATATTCAAAATGCAGTCTCTCCCTATGCGTTTACATAGCCAATTAACGTAGGTTTCAACTTCCTCTAGCTAGCGATATATTCTATATATGAAGTGTGTTTGCATGCTTGCCAGAACGCTGTATGCAAATAAGCCGCGGTCAAATCAATAATCCAAGATTCAAGATCAGCTAACAAGTCTTTGAAGCACACCGTCCCCATGATCTGCCGTACTCCAAATACTTGTTAGTCTCATGGGTGTGCATACCCTGCTGTATGCAGCTGTGTTTGCTGTTGTGATTGTTGCTGTTGCTGCTTCTGGATGATGTTGATTGAGCAATGCTTGCTTGCGTGTTTTTGCTTGGTTCGTGTCTTGTAAAAATGATGCCCGTAGACGTCGATTCTATCTGCACTCATATTCTAAGTGCTCTTTAGTAACTTTAGTACAACAACTCCGATCGTCATCTGAATTTAAATACTCAAATTTATTCATGTCATATTCTAACTGTGTTTCCCTGATAGTAGTACAGTATAGTTTTTACAGGCCATTGTATATTTTCTGAAGCCCAGTGGCCCGGGGGGGACATGACCAGCAGGGCTCCCGGCGATATCGCCCCATCCAGGCAAGAAGACCAGGATGGTGCCAGCAGGTTTCTCCTGGTGGAACGCGGCTTGTCTCCAGCACCACAGGGCGTCTCCAGCAGCTTTTCTTCAAAACCCCCAAAACCCTCCAAATGGTTTGCGGATCTAACCCACGCCCACGGCACGTGTGATTCATCTGAACATTATACATGTGTGTTTGTGTGTCGGCTACTCTTAAAGGCACTGTAGCTGCAGCTGGTGTTGCTCAGAATACTTGGCGGACACTGCAAATATGAATCAGCTTTTACTGTCGTCACACGTTCACAAATTTGTTCAAAAAATCGCTTGCTTGATTCAGCAAATCACTACTTTAAGTTCATCGCAAGAGCTTTGAGATGGGCATAGAATGGCATAGAATGGCATAGAGGTCATGGCAAGAGGCGTGTAAAAGGCCTTGGAGCCAATGATTCCAAGCCTCTTGATGATACATGTCCAACGTGGAGTCGTCCCAGCCTCTGATCTTTCCTTCCCAACAGTTCAGTCATTCAGTCCTCTGTCTGGCCCTTCTGGGCATCTTTGTACATCCTGGCACTCTTGTCACTCCAGGGAAGCTTTCCGATCTTCTAAGAGCATCAAAAAAGGGCAAGCATCTAGGCAAGAATCTGGGCAAGCTTGGGCGCAGCAAATATTCTCGCCTTTGATCAGGTTATTGAGGGTTCAATAGTTTCTCAGCATGGCCGCGGTGACATGCATGGAAAGCCATTTGAAATTGTGACGTGTTGATTCGTATGGCTGCTGAACACCAGGTGAACCCCAAAATAAAAGCAGCCCTCAATGGCTTCGTACTATAGCAGCTTGTTCATGGTCTCCCACGCGTGTTGGCGATCGCCGATCATGGTTCTGCCTTTCTGTGGCAAGCGATCGAGTTCGAGTTCACACAAAGGACCCTTGAGGCAACAGGGTTAGATCCTCAAACCCGGCTCAAGCTCCAGATTGCATCCTCCCCTTTTCTCTCAGAGGTATTTATATATATATACTCCGCTCAATCCGCTCCGCCTGTCGATGTGGAGGATCAACGCCTCGCTGCGAGGAAAGCCCGTTGAGTTGCGGAGTTGAAAGCGTCCGGAGTGGTTGCAATTGAGCAATCCATGGAATTCAAGAGAAATTAGTCTTCCATGGAATGACGCAATGATGCAATCGGTGATATTGAAATATCACCGGTATAAGACTGGTATAAGCCTGAAGAGGCTTTACAATCCATGGACGGGAATTGATGGTTTCCGGAGTCTACCAAACATGGTGGGATTCTGATTCTAAACCCCTCTTGGAGATTCTTAACGCTCATCTAGGAGATTCTTCCTCACTCCCGGGTGATGTCCTCACTCCCAGTGCATCCTTCCCTGGACCCGCTTCACTCGCTCAAAGGCCCGAACCAATGAAAACCGCTTAGGGCTTTAGAACAGATGGGACCTGAGGGATTTCCCTCGCTGTTTCCCCCAAACTCGGTGGACCCGGGTCGGTCGGATGACTAGGGCCGATCTCTCAGAGGAGCTAAGCTGACCGATGCCGGTTCCTGGCGCATTGATTTGTTGAGTTGAGTAGATGGCACAAACCCCAATGTCGGTGGTTTAGATGAACCCCCTTGTAAAGGAGATCTAGAGGTCGGTGCCATGTAATCTGAAACCACTGCAGTGGTCTCTACCAAACAACCTATTGTTTCACTAAGGAGTTTTGATGATTTGAGACTGCAAATGCAAAAACCAGGTTAAGCAATGTTCAAAAGGCCGAACAGAAACCGAACGGGGAGGTGTTAGAAGAATCCGCCGTCCGAAAGTGACTGAAATATTCAGAAACGACTGTTGCAGACCTATGCCAGAAATCGAGAAAGCGATTCAACCAAGACACCCCCGTGAGAAGGGCCACAGCTTCACGAGCCAAAAGGGTATTGTGATGCCTCTTAGATCATTTCAACATATTTCAACTCCCGTCCACGATTCCGTCGCAGCTGAAGCTTCTCCGACCTCCCACCGTCCGTATCCGTCACGCACCTCGATGATGGGAAAGTCAAAGGCCAGGCTGCTCCTGGAATTCAAGAAGCTAGTAGTAACAAGTGCTTAGTAGTAACTGGTGCCTTACTAGTAGTAACAAGAAGCAAGTAGTAATTCCCATCGGAATTCATGCGGACGCTCGGTGGAACCTGTTCGGGCCATGTTGGAGTCTTTTCAGCTCAGCGTATGCGTTGGTCACACGGTATGTACAGTGTCCCTCCCTTGGACACTACTCGTTTGAAAAAGGACGAGACACGTCTAACACAAAGTAAAGTCTTTTGCAGTCCCAAATATCCACAATAGACTTGAAAGAATTGAGTGTTGAGAACTTGACTGTTACCTTCAATCCATGGCAGCTATTCGAGATTTCAGTCAAGGAGGAGGTCATTAAGGCACGACACATGCAATGAATTTCCAGCTGTATTTACTTTGAGCTGTATTTACTTGCAATATTTGAGGAAAAGGGCATACATTATAGTCCAAATGTATCATAATGTATCTATACAAATGTTACAAGTAATTACTTGTCTATGCTGCATAGGCTTCTCCCACTGGGCTCAGGGAGCCGCCGTCATACTCAACCGCGCTGATTTGATTCAAGAAGGTGCAGCACAGTCAGGTGTATCTCCACAAAAAGAAGGCACTGCAATAATATGCTATTATAGCTTCATGCACATACTACCCCATGTCAACCCCCTCCCTTCGAAAAAAGAAAGACAAAAGAATCACCTACGAACTCAAAACCACACCTTCACGGAAACCCCACGCGTCGGACCCTCCGCCGGCGCCAACCTTCCCAACCTTCCCCACTTCCGAGGTACTGCTGTAGCACGTCGTGCTTCCGCAGCCCATCCACCAACCGCACTTTGGACATCGGCGCCAGCCTGCGAAACAGCCGACCGGCGAAATGCGGGGGGTGGTTGTAGCAGGGAGGCCCAGCAGGATGCGACCGTAGCATCTGGTGCCCATGGCGACCCTTTTTGCAGGTGGCGTTTTGATGGTGTCTGGTTTCTTTCCATGCTAAGACCCATCAGGTGGAGTGCCTCGCCCGCAGCCTTTTGGGCTACCCGTGGGTCGTTTGCTTCGGGTCTTCCGAAAACCAGCCACTCGGTCCCAGTTTGGCTGCCGAAGGTTCGGTCAATCTCCAAGCCAAAAGGACCAGCTGCGAAAACCAAAAGGGGAGAACAGTGGAACATCGTACATTGCTGCCCAGCCACATCTGGCTTTCCAGGCCCTTTTCTCGAAGGCCCCACAACGAGTCTCGGTCCTGCAGCAGGACTTGCATGTCTTTACCCTTTTGATCATGTGACAACATAACTGGATTGCTTCATGATGTAATGGTGTTTTATTGATTGGATGTTGACTCAACCCAGACCCAGGTAGCATATCGACGGACTTCTGAAAATGCGAATAATGCAACAACTATTATAATACTTAATCACCATCAGAACCATCAGAAATGTGTCCAAATGCTAATAAGCTAATATTGTTTGCTGCATTCACCTTGCGCGGTGTTCTTGGCTCTTTCAGCCTCAAGACCTGAAGACTGAAGACCAAAACAATGAATGACACGAGTCCTCTGAGTGAAAGATACATCTGCAAATGGAGCATTGTTTAACTTGAACTTGGTTGAGCAGAGTACTAGTTCCAACTTTTGAGAGCTCCAACGAACTCTTTGCCGCTTCACCTCTCGTGGCTCTCGGTTTTCGTGCTCGGACTGCCTCTGGCTTGGTGTGCTTGAACACAATGGTCCTAGACGCTGGACCGTCCAGCAGAAACCCAGGAGGCTGTGAGGCACGCGTGATGCGAGGCGTTCGCAGAGCTGGCAGATCCGATTTCGCTGCTCGACTGCACGGCAGCGGAGCAACGAACGAACGCGGAGCAACGAACATGGTCCATGGGTCTTTTTGGGGGGGGGGCTGGCACTAATATCGATTTTGGATGATTTTGGCACCCTCGTGACATGGTATAAAAGTGCACCAATTGTTCGGTTCGTGCGATGTGCAGTCCACATGCTCTCCTGGATAGGGAACCTCCCAGTCTAGTGAAACGACATGCGCCTGTTTATTCCCATACGGTCCACCTCCTCTTCGATTGGTTTTGGAGGTGAGTGAAAGCACGAAACCCAAGAACTGTCAAAATATGTCAAAAAGGGGGGCCGACAGCAAGGACATCCGAGTTTCTTGCATGGTGCTGGACCGGATGAGGGATTCACGTCCACCAGAGGTTTTCCATGTGGAGACCACGGTCGACACGTTTCGGCACCGTTGAAGTGTGGCGTTGCCCTACACGGCCGTGTTTCATGTCAGCAAAATCCCAACAGACCCGAAGTGATCCAAAAAGCCTTCCTTTTGGGACCTATCTTCCTTGACACCTCAGGATGTGCTTTCCGACTCGTCGACTCGTCGACTCGTCCAACGACTTGTCCATCGGCCCCGCGGGAGTCGGTTCTGGGTGACTCCAAGTGACTCCAACCTTCAGACCCCCTCACCAGCTACCAAGCTCCTGGTTGGTGGTGTCAACTCACTGGACGAAATGAGGACCTGCGGGTTCCAAGATGGAACCAATGAACTCAAGGAATTAGAAGCTCTTGGAATTCCAATATGGTTCCAATATGATCTCAAGTAATTAAAGGTCGCTTTTCGAACCACCGAAAACCACCGATTTCTCCGCTCGAATTGGGCTTCCCCGCTTCCAAGCTCGCTCGTTCCAGTCTCCCTCTGCGCCGGCTGGGATGTCCTGAGAAGTGGGTCCAGCAGGGTGGGCTGACCGCGAAAGGCCTGGGGGTGTGGTGAATGGACCACGAATGCCTCAGGTCTGGTTTTTGGTTTTGCAAATCGGCCAATGCCGGCCAATGCCATGGAACACTGAGGAAAATACCTAGCCTTGTTCACTGATCTGGTGGGTATGAGTCATCTAGCCTTCAAATGCCTTCCAGCATTGGCTTGAGCCAGTGGATACTTGATCCATTGTTGAGTTGTGTTGGCTGTCCAGCGCTTCGGTGGTGTCCGTTCCCATCTAGGGCAGACCCCATCACTCTGTATGCGAAAAAACACTCAGTAGCTTAGCGCTCCTATTGAGATGAGAATCTTTAAGCTGGAGACGCCTCTTCTGAACATGTCAGAGCGGATTTCAGGTATTTATGTATCCAGGTCATTAGGAACAAGGACGCTATTAGGGGCTCCTGGCCTTACTACTAGGAGCAAGGACGCTACTAGGGGCTCCTGGCATCACTACTAGGAGCATTCTTACTACTAGTAGCTTCTTGTTACTAGTAGTAAGGCCAGGTCACCACTTAGCTTCATCCCAGGTCTCCGTCTCCAACATGCCCAGCCAAGGCGGCGATGGATCCCAGGTCTTCAGGACCAGTGAAGTCACGCTCTTTTGCCCGAGTGAAGTCCCATAACCGGTCTTGTTCAAAGCCCTCAGGGGCCCTTGGCGCGGAGGCCCACCTCGCATCCTCTGGGCCTCCGCGCGATGCCGCCACACAAGATTCCGGGCCTTGGGCAGGACACGACGATGCCCAGGGGCGCCGCGACGCGGGCGTCGCGGAGGTCGCGAGATGGCCGGGAGCGAATTCACCAATTGGCCAAAGATGGCAGACTCCAACGTGTGGAACAAGAGAGATGACCCAACAAAACATCCAAAATTCAAAAACCCAGGTCGGAAAAAGAACGGAAAGAGCCGTGGAGAGAGCTTTGAGGGAACGGAGCACTATTTTTGCCTCAAGACTCCTCACCAAGGCCACACAACGTGGCCATCGCCGATGGCCATCACCGATGGCAACGCCGAAGATCGACGAAGATCGGTGACTCTCGATTTGGTGACCTTCCCGGCTTGGTGGTTGATAGATGTTGATAGGAAAAATACAAAACGATCCGATCTTCACCCCCATTCCAATCATTTTGAAAGACTGAGAGGTGTTTCTTTTCTGCCATCGAAGCAAGACTAAAACCATCGACCCGAAAAAAAAAATAAACATGGGGCCGGTGGTCCAGATCGATGCCTTTTGCGCGAACCTGGACATCTCTGGAATGTGGGGTCCGAAATGCCAAACAAGCCCAGTAACCATGAAACAACAACTGGATGGAGTGAAAATTAGATATTGATGGAGATTGTGACTGAAACCTGTCATGCCCCAACAACCAGATTCTGCTGCTTTACATTGCCCATTTTGAAGCCGACCTGCAAATCTTCCTGAATAATAAATGACACCAACTTTCCAGTTAACAAGGTTGGTCAAGAATTTACCATTTAATTGCACCCTGACGGTTGGCCGGGATGCCATCTCAAACAAAGCGACCGGGTTGGAACACCGTTCTCACTGGGATGCCATGCCCCAGCCATAGCTGAAACATCTTTTGCCCCTGCTTGTACAAGGTGGCCTTAGCAATGCAGGTACGAGGTAAGCTTTGCGAACGATCCGTCTGCAAATCTCAGGGAGTCGTGCATTTCAATGGTTTGCTGTTAGGAGGTTGGGAGGATCACAGCACAAATAAGGATTTGGAACTATCCTGCGATGCAAATAGATGTCTTCGAGACACACAGACACACTATGTGTCAAGTTTGCCATGTTGTACTAACTGGAGGGCTACAGGTGGGCCCTAGTCAAAAAGAATCTGCCAGGATTTACACTCTCAATACCACTCTAACTAATTACCACCCTCCCAAAAAAGAAGCCTGATATATAAATGACTCTGCTCCAGCCTTGGCTGCTCTCAATTCTCGATTCGCAGCGTTTCTGGGCCCCAACAGCGACTTCATCCAAGAAGAGCTCGCTCACGGGGTAGACCTGGATGGAAGCCGCATACCGCATACACCGCCGCGAGCTCACCAAGAGCGGCTGAAACCCCCCCAGCATGAAACGCGCAGAAATGGGAGAGCAGCCAGTGCTCAGAGTTCTATCCCATGGACGCAACGGGATGTGAGGTACTCGGATGCTCCACATGTCTGACATGAAGCTTGGCAGTTTCACCTCAAATCTCTAATCTACAGCACCATTGTTTGAAGTTCGGTCTTTGATGCCCTCACCCCTCACCCACTCTTGATGTTGTCTTCAAAATCTGCTCTGCTCTGACCCTGAGTGTCCCACCCGCCCAGGAATCTTCACCTTGGTGGCACCTGGCGAGGCGTTTGGACCGACCGAAAACGACTCTTTCGCCTTTCAACAGTGTGCCGTCGGTCTTGCAGAGGGGTCGGAGACGCTGGAAATCCACACTTGGTGAACACCTCGATTTGATAGCCACCTGAATTGAGTATTGAAGTAATCTCACGTGAGCAAAAAACATTACTGAATTCTAAACATCTGTCTTGGTGGCATGGCACAGCGGCAGAAGACCATTGCTTTCGTTGTGCAGTTCATCCCTCTAAGCCATGATATTGACATGTCGACATGTGAAAAAGTCCACCGAGTGCGTGATAACCCATCAACGAAGCCACCTCCAACGTGCTTGTATTAATGCAGTCTTTTTCAATACACAGGAACGGAATGTCTGCATCTGTCAGAGCACCAATCTCGTTGATCTTCGCGATGGTGATGGGACGTAGGTCACTTGGCCCGAGCCAAGCCAGTCCACTAGAAACAACAGCACACCGTGCAGTCCCAATTGCGCACAGCCGCTATCTCCTGATAATGACCTCTTTGAGTATGTTTGAGTTATATAATGTTCGCAAACCACCCCAAGAGGCATGGGCTCGTTCATGACTTGGGCTCCCAAAAAAGAGAAACAAACAACGGGGATTCGGCCCCAAGGTCCGGGATTGGGCTGGGTCTAACTGGGCGTCCACACCCTCAAAGTACCGCTCGAAGGTGTCCATTTGAAGAGTGGCCTTGGGAGGGCATGTGGCACTGGGGTGGTCTGCATGGAGCACTTGAGGTGTGCTAACTGTGACAACAGGATGATGCTGGTTTGCTTGCAGGTATCTGATTTGTTCAGATACCCGGACATCAAGCTCTATCGATCCCAAGACTGTGCCAATGGGCCAAACAAAAGTTCTGATCCAAAACTTAAGGTCATCACTGCGTCTGTAAATTGATGTGAGTTGTAGCCAAGGAATCCATGAATCTGAGTCCGTTTCCTGACGCAAGTTCGGTGTGGCTTAAAGGGGCAGTCAATCCGAAGTGCTCGTATGTGCGTGTTTGGGAGGGCCAGCGGCTGCAAAGATCTGCGATGTTGCAAGATCTGGGATCACGAACCCCACCAGAAGCTCATCCCGAGGGGGTTCATGTTGCCGACAAACTGCTTCAAATCGGTCAGTTTGTGAGTCTCCATGTCTTTCCCCGCAACAACGGCCACAGACTACAGAACCCCAAATTGGAGCATCTCCCAATATTGTTTGGCTCCCTAAATATCTGCAAACCCTTGAAAACTCCTACCACCTTCCCAACAACTTCTCAAACTCTGCGCAAACCCCTCAACCCCAACAAAGCAAATACCTCAGCCTCGAACACTCATCAGCACCAACCTCAGATCGGTGGTTGGAGCCAAGAGAGCGCAGAATGGCCAGCGCCTTCTTTCTTATGCAGGGGGGGGGAGGGTAGTTTATCTGGAGCCCAAGGAGTGAAACAAATATAACAAGAAACGCAACGAACATCAAGCAAAGGAGATCAAATGTTAAACCCGACATGCAAGCGCCTAGCGCCTAGAGAATGGAGAGAATGGAACCTGTGCAGCCCACCATTTGTGGGTCGAACCAATTGGAATTTGTGACGTCAATTGCGAAGAATAGATAGATAAAGATAGATCTAACCGGGAAGGCACGAGTGTTGTGGTGAGGTGTCAAGCCTGATGGCCATCATAATGAGGGATCATCAAGGATCTGCGGCCCCATAACGGTTGACGTGATGATTTCATCCGAAGGTAACGAGGTCATGTGCCAATCTTCGTCTTCAGCAAGTCCATTTGACGGCACTCTGGCGCAAAACAAGGCTGTACACATTGTTGCATGGTATGAGTGAGGCACACAGGCATTTTATTGTCTGTCTTTGTCACGTGTTTTATCTTGAAAAGTGCGATCTGCCTAATCATTATATAAATGGTATGGTATGACCGCTTGCGAATCCCCACCACGGCGAGGAAGAGTAGTGTAGCCACTGCTTACCAAAGCCTCCTTCCACTCATTGTGATCAATCTCCCACATTGTTGTTCATACTTTCCTACCCAAAGCAACCATTCACTAATCCTAGGCATGGGCAAAAGCCAAGACTTTCGACTGGAAACATCTGAAAACGATATACGTTGCTCCAGGATCCCTCTTCTCATTCCAGGAGGGGTGGGGGTGTGCAGGCCATTATATAAATAAGAAAACGACGGTTGCTCCAGGTTTCTCTTCTTTTCCCAATGAAGACTCCACAAAACATGAGTCGAATGAGTCGAATCAGGTCTGGCTCACCCTATCGACCGATGGACGCCGCCTTCCCTAGCGATCCACTGCCACCCCACCCTCGGTACGACTGGATCCCGATCCGGGCTTCAAAACCTTGATCCCCCATGTTCTGGTGAACGGTGATTCTCCCGAATGCGAAATCGGAAGCGAAAGCTTCCGCTTCTTTCATGGCTTTTTCGCCCTGGATTTGGGTTTGTTGGGCTGTCCCCGATCCCCCCAAACGATCGCCAATCCGTGGGTCCGAGACCTCGCACGGTCCGCGGCTCCCCCGCGGCGCCGCGCCTCAGGTCGCTGCGGCGCGCCAGCAGGTCGCGGACCACGATCCTCAGGCGGAAAACGATTCGCATGGGGTGAGAGGGAGCCTCCGGCATTTTTGGTGCAGTGAACCAAAGAGAACCAGAGAGGGTTCTCTCCCCCGGTTGTCCAGAATAAGTTCTGTTTCACTTGCGACTTCGGATTCCTTGTCACTTGGAAGTAGCTGTAGTGATAACTGCTAGTCCAAACACAGATATGGTTTTTCTTTTTGTCGGCATACAGTGTCTTTCGACGCACCGGCACAGATCAGGTATAGCAGCAAACAAGGTTGCAGGGATTGGGCTTTGCTGGGTTTGCTGTTTGCGGTAGAACAACTGGTTCCCCAAAATCCGATCGTGGCTTCGTGGCTTCGGTGACCAAAATGCCGCAGTGGGGAACACCCGAGGTGAGGAACGAAGGATTTGATTGGATGAGTTCACAACGACTCACAGACTTATATATTACAACTTAATTTATAAACAGGGCTGGGGCTTCAGTAGGTAACAGGTGTTTCTATTTGTTTGAATCAATCAACATGAGTACGGGGATCCAACAACTATAGGGGGAAGCTTTGGTATTCACAAACTGCCTGCCAAGCTCGTTACCACCCGTGACTTTCACATTCCCGCATTGCTTGCCACACCCTGCCACCATCCCACCACCACACAACCCAAACCCTCGAAAAATGAACCAAACACCCGTCATAAGACCAAAAGTGAATCCAATCCTATTAGGGATTCGCTCCTTTTCTCAGCCAAGACTCATGTTGAAGTCTGCCAACTTGTCTCGTTCGTGCACCTGTAGGAGGACAACAAACCGCACAACACACCAATCGCTTGTTCGGTCCGTGCACTTGCACAAGTTCGAGGAAGGTCATGAAAGGTGGCGCCGGCCAAAGCGTGAACGATGGTGAACTTAAAATAACTAGTAGCGATGCACTTGTTCCTAGTAGCTTCTTGTTACTACTAGTA